AATAAGTTTAAAAATTAAATTTTTAAGAAAAAATTGATACTTTTTTAACAGTCAAAAATCTTACTTTTTATATACATTCAAAAATTTAAGCCTAACCCTCAGCTTTATTTTAGAAGACAGTACTGGAATTTTAATAGTTTTGTCTCTTCAGGAAAATTAAAATGGAGCCTGGATTTTCGTCAACGCGCGTGCAGACGTTGACGCTGTTGCAGATTACGGAGCCTATATGTAACCAAATTGGACAAAAAATTATTTATATAAATAAAATATCAAGAATTATTAGTTTTCGATTTATTTTACTACCTTCCTAAAAAAAAATTCCCAAAATAAATTTTTCGACGCTGAGAACATATATAATCCCTTAATGATTTTCTCTTTGACAATACCGCAAGGATCTTGTGTTTGCAACTGGATAGGCGACATGGTAAATCGCGCATAATCGCAAGACATCTCCCTGTTCTCCAGACAGGTGAGCATCTAGGTCAGGGCGCTAAGTTTAAGGGTTACTACTGAAATTTGCATATCGCTTGAGTCCGAGGCGCAGAACTCTCGTCTCCTCTCGAAAGCCGGATACGGGCAAACATGTGTGTGTGAGCGTGCCTACAATCGCAAGTGTGAAATTGCACAAACGTATTACCGAGAGGTAATACGCAAACATACCTTGAGATCGTGATACTGAAGTTCGTTATTGACTTCTTGGTCGCTTTGCGCCTTCATGACGATCAACGCTGCTCAAGTTTCCTCGCATAGTGACACGTAGACATTATGCTCCTTATGCTTTTCAAAATATTAGTAATCTGTAATAAATTGAAAATAATTATTGATCTATATAATATTAAATCTGCATAAAATTTCTAATAATTAATAATTAAATTTATGTAATATTAATTAATGATTTATATATTAATTAAAGTAATGTTATTATTTTGTATATGTTATTATTTTCCAAACAGAAAAAGTTACAACATTTATCATGACATTAAAATGGTGTCAAAACGACTCAAAATAATTAAAAACACTTTTTTATCTATTTTAACGTTGAAATGACATTTTCATGACTTGTTATTCTGTTTGAGTTTTCATGTATATTTAGTAAATATCAACTAACAATAACGTAATGAAAACATTATAATTTCAACAATATAAACATAATACACATGTTGTACATAAGGGTTATATTATTAATAGTATGGAATTATAACATTCATATTATACTATAACTTTCAGTTAGTGTTTATTAGACACTCAAACAAAACACAAATTATCATCAAAACAACTCTAAAATAATGACTAAAAATTAATTTTCAATCATTTACGATTTATTTTAACGCCATTTTGACGTTACCGTGAGATCACATGAAAATTACATGTTTATGACTGGAAAATTACTTAAATTACATAAATATGATTGGAAATTTACTGGAAATTGTAAATTTCCAATCATATGTAATTTCCATGTAAAATTACATGCATTTTTTTCAGTGTTGTTCTGCTTGAGTGATAATTGTTTCGACGAACTTTTCTTTTCTGCATTAATTCACTCTAAATTTTTGGGAGTAAAATTTCACTCCCGAAGAGTGACAGTTGCGTTAATCCAGCAGAAGTAAATTTTTCACTCTTAGAAAGTGAAGAATCACTCTTCGAGAATAAAAAAAATCCCTCCAAGCGACAGTCAATTTTCAATCTCTGCGAAGAGTGAATAATTTCACCCTCTGAAAGCAGACTAAAGGTAAATATTAAATTTAGTCCCCCTGACGAAAATGGGCTCATTTAACGTGTTATTGCACAAAATGAACAAATATGTGAAGAAAAGCGTCCCATACAGCACAAAATTTGCAGCAATATCGCTGCAAAAACGCTGCAATATTGTTGCAATGTTGCAGCATTGTTGCTGCAACTTTTGTGCTGTAGGGAGTCGCTGTGCCTCGCCAACGAGATATTAATCATTAAAGTTGATCTTTTAGAAAATTCACTCCTTGAAAAAGTGAAGTGAAATTCACTCTTGCCGGACTGATCACTTTTCTTGGAGTAAGATTTCACTCCCAAACTCCAAAAATTTAGAGTGTTTTGTTTCCATAAATCGAACATCTGGCGATAATTATTACGCTTTCGAGAAATAAATACGCGGATCATTGTGCTTTCGAGGGATAAATACCTGAGATCGCGAACTAACGGTGTATAATGGCGGTGGCAGTTTTGCGCGTCGCGTTAGATCTGCGACGACGGAGGTTCGCGACACCTTACGATATGTTCACAATAATCGCACGGACATTAATCACTTTGTGTCGAACGATCGTAAGAAACACTAACTGCGAATCACGCACAATCTGTCGTGACATGTTCGAATACCTACGATTCAAAATCCTTTCACGAAGAGACGCCGCGATTTGGCGCGATTTTGGAGGATCGTTGGTGGAATGTGAAGTGAGGTACGTTCAAAAAATAAAAGCATCTAGCGGCCGACCAATCACAGCCGAGAGTTTCGGAATAGCCATCTCTCACGGACTACGATTGGTCGACTCGCTTCACTACGCGAATCAAACTGATTAAATTCAAGCTGGCTTATTTAATGGTTTTTAAAACGAGGTAAAAATTACAAAAGCGAACTCACTAGGTGTTGACGAACCAATATCTAATAAATTCTAATAAATTCTAATAAATTGTTAACCTTTGTAATTTTTATTTCATTTCAAGGGGGTCAATATATATACTGTGTATCTTGAAATGAGATGAAAATTATAAATGTGAACAATTTCAATAGATAACCATTATTTACCAATGAAATTATAATATATAGGGAGTTTTTGCAATATCGTGTGTCCAAATACGGTACAAATGTTAAAGTTTCTCATTATTTAGTGCGCAATTTGAAATAGCATGACTTTAACGTTTACATGTTGTATCTGAATACACGGTATTGCAAAAACGCTATTATTTGAGCGAATTTGTTTACTTTCGTAATTTTCATTTCGTTTCAAGATACATAATCAACTCCAATCATCATAATAACTCAAATAGAAAATAGTGGTCATATTATCAATTGTAGGTTTACAGCTCGATTTACGCCAAAATTATAAAACATCGATGTTATGAAACTAATCAATCACAGTCATTCCATTTTTCAGAGAAAGAGTTATGGATTGGCAGTTTTATAACATCGATGTTATAACACTTCGGCGTAAACCGAACCGTGTAAATGTAGTCATTAAGAACATCATCATAACCTTAGCCATGTTCCAATAATGCACTGCTAGTATTGAAAATCTGTTCACGCTACATATACTGTAGATTCCCGGGAAAAAATAGCTGCGTTCAACAGAAAAAGCAGCTTTGCAACTGTTGTAAAATTCTTGAATATGATTGATTTATACATTTAGATCTAATGAGAAACTAAGGGCAAGACCAATCATATTAAAGAATTTTAACAATAAACTTATTCATAACCTCGCAATAAAGCGAATTTCAACCGGTTGAAATTCGCCTAAAGCAGTATCCTGATTGGTTCATCGGCTTAAATTTATACCTTATGCATACTGTTACGGAATTTTGTGTGCAGCAGCCCTTAGTAATATCTTAAGACGCTAATGCAGTCTTCTGATTGGTTCGTGACTTTTTAAGACCATATTTAAGACAGTATTGAATATAAGACCTGACTATGGCCGATATTCATAGTCAAATCTTATATTCAAGACCGTCTTAAGTAAGGTCTTAAGAAGTCACGAACCAATCAGAAAGCTGCATTGACGTCTTTAGACATTACTAAAGGGCATTCCACACAAACTTGCATAGTCGCATAAACATATACATAAAGAAAATCATCCAATCATAGTTTACGTTTATCTGTATGACAGAAATGTGATTGGATAATTTTCTTTATGCATATGGTTATGTGGCTCTGTAAGTTTGTGTGGAATGGTCCTTAAGGCCAGAATCAGACTACGCATTGAAGAATGAGATTGAAGGTTGAAAGATTGAACTTTACCCAATCAGAACAAAAGAAACCAAAATTTCTTTGTCCTCATTGGTGAAATTTCAATCTTTAATCTTCAATCTCAATCTTCAATGCATATGCTGAATTCACACTGCATCCGATTTGCGTCGTACGACGCATATAGGATGCAGTGTGAATACAGCATTAGTCTGATTCCAACTTAATGCTGGATTCACAGTGCATCCGATGTGCGTCGTACGACGCTCTGCAACCAATCAGAAACAGGATTCCGATGATACGAAGCAAAATCCATCGAAATCCTGTTTTCTGATTGGTTGAAGAGTGTTATACGACGCAAATCGGATGCAGTGTGAATCCAGCATATGGCCGGTATTCATAGTTGGTTCTTATTTTAAGGCCGTCTTAAGTAATGTCTTAAGTCGCTAATGCGGCCCTCTGATTGGTTCATGACATTAGGTCTGTTCTTTTTGGCCGAACTTTTGCACCAGTTCATCTTTCTTCCTTTTCTCTCCAGGAGGAAAGAAGAGGAAGAAAGGTGAACTGGTGCAAAAGTTCAGCCAAAAAGAACAGGCTTCATATGTGAAACGGAATGCACTTTTGCCGTCTTGAACTCGTTCAATGGCTGTGTTTAACGGACTCAACAGTTAAGTAAGCGCTCGCTGCTACTGATTTATTCTTCCGGATCTAAAATGCTGATTGGATGATCTAAGAGAATATACCAATAACAGCGACTGTTGAGTCCGCTGAACGCAGCCAATAATGTCGCTCGACAAGATGTCGCGCAAGTCGCGATTCCATGTATCGACGGAAGTCGACGGCGCGGCCATGTCAGAGTTCTTTTTACGTTGGTTTTATTAGCAGCACGTTGTCGGAACGGTAAGTGTGACATTCACTTTTGAACGTTTCCTTGTAACTGCGTTTTCGCTTGTCGCTAAGTCTCATAAGTTCAGCTATTTGTATTATTCGCTGTTTGCAAAAAAATTCAAATAATTCTTTAACAAAGATGGCCTGAAAAACAAATGCGACGCGTGACGACTTTGCGTTGTTAACGTCAGTCTGTCAGTCGTTCTAAATTTTAGTGTTTTTTTTTCCCACGATTCTGCCTCCTCTCGATAAAAATAAATTGCAAACCGAAAACTATTCTGAGTTCGTCTCGCAGTATTTTCTTGGTACTCTTGGTAGTTGTCGAACGAGATTGTTTTTACATCACACGCACGTGGATATCGTGACGAAAGTTTACGGGCTGATTTTGTTACAATTCAGATAAACCATCATGCAGATATTCGTAAAAACCCTCACGGGTAAAACCATTACCCTTGAGGTAGAAGCCTCCGATACCATCGAGAATGTCAAGGCCAAGATCCAGGACAAGGAGGGAATTCCGCCAGATCAACAGCGACTCATCTTCGCCGGCAAGCAGCTGGAGGATGGACGCACTTTGTCCGATTATAATATCCAAAAAGGTGCGAATATACCTAATGTTAAATAAAATTTATCGAATTTGGCAAGTCTTCAAAGTAAAGATTAGATTTTATAACATATCAAAGGCTTGTTCTTTTTCCTAGGACTGAATCTTTTGCATGCTTCATCTTCTTTTTCTTTTCACATTGAAGAGAAAAAAAAACATAATTCATGCAAGTTCAGTTCCTCCAGGGTATGGAAAAAGAGCAGACCAAATGTGGCATTAAATTTAGAAAAATGTATAAAAATATGAAAGGAACTCATGGACATTGTATGAAAATGACTTTTATTTTTTCTTCTGTAGAATCGACCCTCCACCTGGTACTTCGTCTCCGAGGAGGCGTAATTGAACCCACGTTGCGTATACTCGCACAAAAATATAACTGCGATAAAATGATCTGTCGCAAGTGCTATGCTCGTCTTCATCCACGAGCAACCAATTGCCGTAAGAAGAAGTGTGGCCACACGAATAATATCCGACCAAAAAAGAAGCTGAAGTAAACTAGAAAACAAATTTCATTTTCCATATTATGGAAATGGAAGTATATGTTTCTTATATATGACATCAATAAACTATAACTAGTAAACTGATCTTTTGTACTTTATTCTTCTCGTACACTTGACAAAATAAATTAAATTTTTAATATAAAATAAACATATAAAGAGCTAAAGTATTATAAGATAATTGCATATATACAATAAGTTTAAGTTATAAAACCTGAAATTGATTTGGTCTTATCCTGAGCACACGGGTTTCATAAGTAATTTGTACTGAGAAGCATAAGCCTCATACAAATTCATATCATTTGGATTTGGTATCGTGCCACCTACCTGTAAAAGTATTCATAAATATAGTTATACAATATTTAATTGTGCAACAAATTTACATACTGTGGCTCTTTTCACGTATTGCTCGTATATGCTTATGTTTGCATCTTTAACACTAGGCAACATTATGACAGCAGCTGTAGATTCGTGAAAAGATGTTTGAATTAGTTTCAAACGCAGTTTAGTATGATCTGTAGAATATGTTGCATTTCGTCCTATTAGAACAAATCTGAAAAAAGGAAAATATTAAAATATGTAAAATTTATTACATGTTCGTATAAACAAATATCATTACCTTTTATAAAGAATAATGTCATTCCGTTTTGGATATTCTGGCTCTATGCCATATACTTCCTTCATAGAGGGAAACAATGATTCAAATGACATTAATTCTGAACTGTCTTTAGAAGTAATTAATTGAGAATCGTCCATTTGTTGATGGCTTTCATCTTCATCTGAACTTGAATCTTCACTTGAGCTGCAACATATGATCGATATTATTAATTAATCGAAGTTAATTATAAATATACTAAGAGAAGCGCGCTAAATAAATATTAATATATTAACTATAAATAAATATAAATATTAATTTTTATTTATAATTAACTCCAAAGAATAAAATTGATAATTATGATACATACCTTGCGCTAGATGTTGTACTACTCGTACTACTTTGACCAGTCATAGATGGATTTTTCATGTTTAAGTTTTTACTACCTGCTTCTTCTCTCCGTCTACCTGGTCGTACACGAACGGCAAATGGACTATAGCAGGTAGTAAAATGTGGCATAAAATCTCTGACAGAGTGACTTATTTTATATGCATACACTTCAGATAGTAAAGATAATTCATACGGCCTAAAATATTTATATAAAATTTTTCGTGAAACATGAATTGAATGTACATACGTATAATAATATGTATAATTATGAAATAAGTGATGCTACCTGTGATAATCATAATAAACGTCAATCATATCTTCTATTGAATTTTGCACTTGTATCATTTCTGAACAGGATTTAGTTACTTCATCAAGTGCGTAAGGAAGACATTTCAATACATTTTTATCCCACCATTGTGTCAGAAGTCTTCTTTTACGCGAGTAATGACAAGCTGGTAGGTGATGGAGATAATAATCTGTTAGAATTTCCCATATTGGAGGCTTACCTTCTTCAGGTATGAACAATCCTAAGATATACGCATATTAATTAAACTATAATTATAGATTGTTTTGCAAATAGAGATAATTATAGATTGTTTTGTAAAGATTAGATAGATATGTGATATTATTTACCCAGAAATAAATTAATTGTATGCTGTTTTTCTTGATCACTAAATGTATTACTGTAATATCTGCTTAAAGTTTGCATAATATCGTTACCCTGACTTGTCCATGGAGCGGTTTTTCTAAATAACAGTTTTGTATAATCAAAATTATTTTAATTTAATATATTACCACATTCTAATGTAATAACATTCACCTACCTATATGTTTTAATTCTATGTACTAGTTGTGAACCACCATATTGCAAGGCTAAAGTATCTCCATGATCTTCGTACAATTCCTCTAACATTCTTACGCAATCAGAATCAAATTCGAGTTTAGGAGACTCTAGTACACCCAAAGCACACAACTGAAACCCTAAGGCACATTTTCCTATTGCAAATTGAGCTGTATTTGTTCGGTCTAAGCAATCTACACAATTTGTTCTGATAATTCCAGTTTGTACAGTTCCTCTCTTAGCAAAACATTCCTTCACTTTGTTTTGGATTTGATTTAATTCATTTATTTTATTAATTTCTATATTTGAATGAGAATCATATATAAAATTTGTTTGCTCATTACAATCTATTTTAATTGAAGTATTAATAGAGCTTTTGATGTCATTTAAATTAGATAATAAAGTCGAATTTGAATTTGTCTTGTGGAGTTTTCTCGTACTATTATTTTGTGGTGAAAACAGATTTCTCTGATTATAATAAGGATTTTGTGACTGATAAATACCAGTCTTTAATACAGCATTGTGAGCAATATTTCCTAATCGCCCCATAACATTCACTTTTTTTCTATAAAAACAAAGAAATTAACGAAAATTAATTATAACGAAATTATTATTTCGTATACAGGATGGAGTAATAACTTTGTCTACCTTGAATATCTCCGCTATTTTTAGAGATATGAAAATATTGTAATTACAAAAGTTACCTTTTATAAATTTACCTTTTGCTCATACGTGCCATATCAAAACTTATATATTGAATATGATGTTCCGGAGGTAGAAACTGATTCAAATATTTCACAGCCATACTTAATTCTTCACTTAATGTACTTTCATGCTTTTTCTTCTCTCGTTTTTTAACTAAATTTAATATTATTATTGGTGATCCATATCTTTTCAACAGTTGATTAAAATGCGCTCCTAAAAGTATGTTAAACGTACAAGAATAAAGTAATTTCATATCAGAATAAAACAATTTATCAATTTTTATATATCAATACCTGCTGTTTCTACATAAGGATCAGACAAATCACAAGTTATAGTCGGTTTTGGGACCATCTTACTAACATCCTGGCTCCAATGAGCAGGCACTGATCCACGCATTTGTACAAAAGAACTGAAACGTCCTTTACTTAGAGAACTCACGCCAGAATCATGAACGATTTGTTCCGTTTCTACTTCATTCGCGACATCTCCCTATATTCATATGTAATCATCAGTTTACATATCTATGAAAAATATGTATTATAAATGCATCTGCACATACATCAAAATTTGCACCACGTTTCAAAAAACGTGTTCCTGCATATTTGTTACTTCTTCTGGCAATAACGGTGACATACATAGATCTTCCAAAAATGCTCACATTTGACTGACCAATAAAGCCATGTATTATATACAATATCCATTCAGGATGCAAATCTTTTTCTACTGGCTTTAAAAGATGGGAATTCCACACAAAACGACGATGTGGATTACTACGTATACCGTAATCCATATAATTCTCGCCTTTACTATAATTGCGTTTCAGATTCTTATTAATTATCTCCTTATTATACTACATTTAAATACAATATATATCTTTAAATTTTCTTAATCCGGGAATAGTCACTTGGGATATTCCTGCCTCAGCGGCAAAAAATACGAATTATTGTAAAATATTGTTTTGTATATTGTTTAATAAATTTCTTTCTTTTTTAATAGGTATTCTTTATGAATAATTTAAATATGTAATTTTTTTTTTCCGAAAATTCGCAATAAAAAAGCGTTATTTAAACATTTTTTTTTAATACTGTGAAAAGCTACTTATGCTTATTTTATTTAATGTTTATTTAGCTTCTACATACTTTTTTTTAGAAAATTGTGATTAAATCCATATTCGTAATATTTTTAACCTTCCAGTGGGCGCGTACGTGTTTTCGAAGGGGATACAGGTAAAATCTATTTTCTGGATCTCGGCTTCCCAAGATATTCTTTCAGTGTCTTTCGGACCGTCGATTCTACTTTTGTAATTTAATGTGTTACAGATATAAAAACATAGTGTTTCTGTTGATCTGTCGATCCGCAATTGAATTTTAATAGAATCCTCATTCGTTTTAGATGATGTATGTTTATATAACGATAAACATAAAAAATGTTCTTTATACTCCATTTAAAACTGATTACTTTGACCTGACTGTCGGTAATGCACTGTTCTATTCTATGCTCTCTTAGGAAATATAGTTGAATACTCTGTGTGATTCATGTAATTTAGACCCTTAATAATTCTTCTTTTTTGTCTTGCAACTGCTAGTCATCTTCTGTATGATGGTAATGAAAAAGTAGTCACACAATATAGTCGATATCACGCAAGACTTCTTTTTTTTTCGACACTCGAATAATTAACAGATGCCAACCGTGAGAGTACCTATGTCGAACTGCTCGATATAGTCACTTGTATGATGGTTATAATGAAAAAGTATAAGTCACACAATATAGTCGAGATGATGAGATCATTAATAAAGATGAGGTTGACTTGATTTGAATTTTGATATTATACTAAGACCATTTCTAACGTATTTTATAAATTAAAACATGAATTAATTATAATTTATTAATCTTTTTGATATACGACAAATCTTCACTTGTGTGGTTCAATCTTAACAGTTTCATAGCTGGTTTAGGAGTTTAATAATTTAATAATTAATTGATGCAAACCGTAGGAGTCTAGTACCGTAGTACCTAGTCAAACTCAGATCGCGTTCTGTTAACGTATGTTGTTTACGTAGAATCAATTTTTAAGATATCAGGCCATTTTTTCAGAAAAATGTTCCTGTGGAGGATACACAGGAATCGCTCAATGCCGGTGAAAAGCGAGAGAGGTGCAAGTTGTGCAAAAATACAACCATCATCCTTAAATGCAACAAATGTTTTCATTTTACTTGCAAAAAACATTCGACGACGATTATTATTTGCAATAATTATACTACGACTAAAAGCGCATAAAACTTTGTTTTATTAATCCATTTTCTAATAAAAGGTAAAACTTATTTTTTTTAACAAATGATTATTTAGATATCATAAACTTTCATCGCATAATGCTTATTTGACGATATTACGCTTTAATCTTTCGAATTTTCATTCTTATTCTACGGTGTTCTCTACATGGCGCGCTTGCTCCCGTTATGAAAAGGCGCGCGCCCACTAGAAGGTTTAATATTAATATATCGGAAAATAACATAGGGAATGTATTTTGGTCATGTTATTTTTTTTCTAGGTGAAGGC